AAATCAAAGATGCCAATCAAAATCCTTAATTGTAGCATATCAGAAAATAAAATGAACATCAACGCTGCCTGGGGGCCAGTCCTGGCATTGCAAGATGTCTCTGTGCTAACTTACTTTTATAGGTCCATCCCAATTTCAGCTACAAATATCATTTTAAAAATATGGAAAAAGCCTCCACATAAAAGGAAGTGGACAGACAGACATATGCAATGTTGTACAAATCACGCCCATTAAATAACAACATTACACATCATAAAAACAACATCAAAAAGCTAAAAACAAACAAAGGACATAAACCAAAGATATACAAAAGCATATGTCAACACTTATAGCCCGTGAAGATAAAGGAAAAAAGTGAAACATAAACTATAAGCAAACAGGTCAGCAAACAAATAGCTACTATACAATATTACAATATCAGGTTGAAGTCCCATTCAAAAATAAGACCAAAGGGCATTCTTGTTTGCAAATTAAAGATCACAATACACCTCTCAATGCAGAGACCATATTTAATGATTGGTAAACTGCAATATATTATGTTTTAGGTTTAATACCTCTTTAATACATATGCATACATAAAACTAAATAAAGTGAGCGCTAAGAGAAAAAAAGTATATATAAAAAGCAGCTAGCACAAATGGTGAACCCACTCCATATCATGAAAACATAATAAAAAGTCTAATATAATAGCCCATAAGGACATATGCATACATAACTACTAAAGTACACTTTCCTACAAAATGTAGAATGTCAGCTCACACCTGAGATGCAGAGTTAGCTCTATAGTATCATCAGAAAAGATTATGGCTGTACACTATCCTAATATCTGCATATATCACACCATGCTGGACTACTTCATTTACTATAAATGTATTGTTAATTGGTACAAATGTCTTACATAGTGCAAAATATATTATTTTTATTTTATTTTTGATATGTTTTAAGAAAACATACCCCTATTTGTACTCTAAAGTGCTTTTTGGAATTCTAATATACTATATATATAATATATATATATATATATATATATATATATATATATATATATATATAGTATGTACTGTATATATGATGATGAAAGGAAGGTTGTTTTTAAAGTGAACAAGTGTTAGTGCAGGGCAAAGCAACATGTTAAGTTCACAGTTGGTTGTTGGCCCAGTGCTAATCCATGGGGCAGGAAGAAAGTCCTACGCCTTGCGCAAGTGCCCCTAATAAGAGCTTACACAGTGCTTCTTCTCTTCATTCTGAGCAGAAAATGACAAGGGTTTAAAAAAAAAAATGTAATATAACATGCTGCAAGGGCCAGGCCTAACCACTTGGCTACCAGGGCAATTTTTTTATTTCTTGCACACATTCTAAAATCTGCATTTTTAACTAGAAATTACTGCAACAACCCCCCAACATTATATATATTCTGATAGCAGAGACCCTGGAGAATAAAATAGTGGCAGTTATTTATCAAATGCATATTTTCAGGAAAAAATACTCTAAACTTTTAGTGCAAACAAACACAAAAATAATACCCATTTTTGATAAAATATAAAAGATGGGGTTGCATTAAGTAAATGGATACCAAATATGTCAAGTCTTAAAATTGCCTGTGAAATCGTGAAAAATCTGTGGAATCCAAAATTCTCCATAGGTATTGCTTTAAAAGATAAGTTCACCTTTTGTAACATTTTGCATGCTAGAGGGTTGCATGTTTTAGGATGTAACATGTTACGATTTTTTTTAAAATTGCCATCACAAGAGTGCTAACAAGCCCCCTATGTGGTAGTATGAGCTGGTGGCAGGTCCTCTTTATGGAGACATTGGGGTCCTATGAGAATCGCAATGTCTCCCCTGCCCTCCAATGCAACTATTCAAACACAGATCGAATTGCTGCATCCTAGGCTACACTAACTGAAAATGAGCTTTGACCCCAGAAGTAACATAATACACATTGCTTCCTGAGTTATTAGTCACAGGAGGGATTGGGGATGTTTCCCAAGTTACTTTGCTTTCATTAGAGAAGTGGTGTCCTGTGGTCCTGGGCTGTCTGGTAGAATGGCAGATTCCTGGAAGCACCAGAGGTGAGGGTGGGGGCCTGTTTGAGAGCCCTAGAAAAGTGATCGGGTGGCTATAGAACTTCCTGATCACTTTTATTGGCCATTCCTGGCTCTTAAAGCTGGTATCAAGCTCAAAGCCATGAGCTTGATTTGACCTTTTGTCTACCGTGACTATAAACATACCTTTGTAGACAAGTGATTAAAGGGGATTTTTAGGGCATGGGCAGTATGACTCTGCTACAAAGCTCTTTACCTTAAGGAAGCCCCTTCTTCCTTTGAGGACACTTTATGTGCATGTATTGTGTGTTACTTAGGTGCCTCAAGCATATTCTCTGGCAGATTATACAATTATAGAGCCTGGGCATGATGGCTGTAGCTACACAAGAGAATATTAGTCTAGTGGATAGATCAGCAATCATGGAAAGCCCTGTAAGTCCCTGCCAAAATGGAATATATTTCCATCTTGAGGATGTAAACTTAAAAATTATTTATAGGTCATACAGGTGAAAAAAAAACATAACTGGCTACAAAATTATTGCATGCATTTTTCTCCAGACAAAATAGTAAAAGGTTTTTTAAGGACAGACTACGAGCTTTACTGAAGCAGCAGTCTTGAACAGAAATTGTTGCTCTATAGCTGGAAAGCTGTCTGGCTTCTAATTGAAAGAAACGTTAACATTCTGAGGCAAGAGGCACGGCATATTAAAATATGTTTAATCTATTGGTAAAGGAACTAAACCTGCCAGCCATTAAATCTTTACTATGTACATTATAAAGAGGTGTTAGCACTTCTGAAACACGCAGCTCCACGCATCAGCAGCCACATGATCTTGACACTTCCGTAATTGTTGGAGGTTGTAAATGTCCTATTAGTTGGGTTGTAATGGAATTTGAGACCAATTCCATAACTAAACTGAAACTGATAGCCTTATAAATAAAGAACCAGAGAAAGAAGTACATGAAAGCACCAAATCCTTGAGAAAAGAAAACCGTCTTCATTATTGGCTAACAGCCATCGCAGCTTGTTTCTTTTATCGGATATTTGTGATAAAATTTACACTCTACTAAAAGCTGTGGCACTGAAACTAATAAGACAAATCATTTTTTTAAGGTCGCACACCTGTATCCGCTTTTCCTTTAGAAGACTGTAAATAAATAATTGTTCTTTTCTTGAGTATCGGTCAGCAAGGATTCAGTCTATTTACTGGAAGCCATTAATTAGGGATAAGATAATTGACTGGTGCATGTGAGAACTCCCAGTGAATTTGGCTGCTTCCCTACAAATTCCACAGTTTTTTGCCATTTATAAAGCACACGTGCATTAATTGTAACATTGGCAAACTTTCCTATAATTCTTTTCCTGCCTTACTGGGTTTAATTCACCCCAAGCAAAGAGCTTGTCCACATCTGTAGCAATCAGTGAGCTGGGGTAGAATGCACGACACTTAACTATAGAAAAACAGCTCACAGGTACAAGCTGCATAATTTATGTTGTGTAAGGTAGGCGAAGGTATATTGGGTTAAGCAAGAAGCAGGCGATAGACTACAATTAAATAGACTTACACACTACTTTTGTGTTAGACCCAAAAGCAAATTTTGTTATACTGAGGCTTACCAAACACTAGATGTCCTAGCTACATTAATTTTCTTTCTTACTTTACATTTTCACCTGGTGATCTTGCCAGTAAATCTGTTGTTTTTCAACAGAACAAGCTGTCCTGCATATGTAGAAGTTAGAGGGTTGAGACAAGCCATTTAACACTGACAGGGGTGCTACAAATGGTCAGATTATATTTATTTATGTAAAATCTTGATCCCAAAAGTACAAAAAAAATGTTAATGCAACTTCTACAAAGTGTAAACTGGAGTTTGGCTTCAATTTCTTACTGTATCTAATCTGCTAATACATCTAATACTGCCCCTCCCCCCAATCAATCAGTGCTGCTGTCCAAAAGTTTCTGTTGCTGCTTTATCCAGAGTGGAGACAATCTAACACAGGAGGTGTGTTGCTGTTCAGACCACCAGGTCATAACCGAGAGAACAAAGCCATAGATGGATCGAAATTTGACCAATTTAGCAGGGGCTAGATGAATGTATGAATCTTTTTGAATCTATGTATGGGCACTGTGGTTGAACAGAAGTCAATGTACCAATTAACTTTTGTACAACCACCCTGTCAGATGTTAGTCGCTCGATCCGTACGGTGCGCTATAGCCTGCAACCCTGATCAGTGTATTCTAATGGTGAGGAAGAAAAATATGATAGCCAAGCGGGGGGAAGGACCCCCATCCAATATATTACATTTTTGGTTTTGTGTTTAATGCTGCTTTAACTCTCAGCTTTTGCCAAAACTTTTCTTTTTTCTATTAGTGAGGAAAGGTTAGAACCTCTGTAAACCTTTTATTGCCACCCGTGTTTCCATGGGAGATAATTAACGTCCCTATCGGTCTGATTATGTCCATATTTCTGTGCTCAAAGCGGTACATTTTTTTGCATGGAAATATGTATTTTTTTTATTGTAGTCCTGTAATTTTTTAGGATTAACTCACTGAAATCTGTCTGAACAAGAGTCTAGTAAACATCCCGGGTATGTTAACATTTGAAACACAAAATCATAAATTATAATTTAATAAATAATCATAACAAATAATAATAAATTTAATTCAATAATATAATCAAACCAAAAACACTAAAATTTGAAATATAGCACCAAGTTTGCACATCACTGAGCAAAGTCACAAAATCGTTTTCAGTGTCTGATGACGAATTTCCCCACAAATCATCACTCAATTCTGCAAGTATTTCTAATTTACTATCGCTGTTCTCTAGCTGGTCTAAAACCGATTTTGACCTAAAGGGACGCTTTTTGGATGCCATGGACGTTTCTCAGTTTCCAGGCAGAAAGAACAGTAAAAATGTAGGCAGGGCACAGGACAAAGCACTAGGGACAAAATGTATGTGAAATGGTTTGATACAGTAATGTTTTACTGTGTGATTTTAGTGAATTCAGTGAATTGTCATTTTCAAATTTCCCGCCTTTCCGTCCCCGTACATCCCGAAGTCGCAGGGGACGGAACCCAGAAGACAGATGCCGGCATCCGCTGGAGGACATTACAGGGGACACTGCAGGAGGGACATCATGGGAGCGCAGGACAAGGTAAGAGAAGAACAGATCCCGGAGCAGCGCCGCATGGTAAGCCCGAGTGTAGCTCGGGGTTACCGCTTGTGGTACTGAAACTTTACCCCGAGCTACACTCGGGAATACCTCCAGGGAGGTTACTAGCATATAACCAGTACATCAAAATGTTCCTTAGTTGACCCTGCTTGGCCCTTAATAATAATAACTGGAATAAGAAACGCTTTGGCGTACAGGTGGTATGAATTTTATTTAAATTACCCAGAAGTGCAGTGGTAGAAAAATATATAAACATGCTTTTCCATAAATCAGAGAGTCTCATCCAGAGATTTCAAGTAAAAAGCAAAAAGTCCAGCAACAGAAAACCAGCATAGATTCAATAAATGCCCAGGAAAACATTAAAGGGAGAAATCCTTCACCAACACCAAACACACTATCCCTTACCAGAAAGCTTTGACCCCCAAAGGAAAGATCAATATGCTCTGTGTCAGGGGTCAGGTATAACCAGAGATGTGTGGACTGACACAGGGAAACAGCAGGCTTCAGAAATCATTAAATAATAATAATATTTATTATGAGCTGCACAAAATAAACAAACACAGTGCAAAACAAAACAAACCTTAAACTAATAGGTACAGGTGCAGTCAGGGCTGGAGAGGTGGAGTGGTCAGGCAGGCCGGGTCAGGAACAATCAGGCAAAAAGGTACAACGGAGCAGGCAGAAGAATGGTTAGGAAGAGCCGGGGTCAGTGCAGGCGGAGTTCTATCAGAGTCAGAGTCAAGCAGGAGAGTCGAGCAGGCAGGAGACAGGATACAGCAAACAGGGGCACATGGGAAACAAACACCAAGGCACTGACTGCAGGTCTGGCCATTCCTTAAATACACCTCCTGCAATCAGCCTCAGGTGATGGCTGATTGCAGGAGTGAGCTTCTGGTTGCTGAGAGCACCCGCTGGCCAGCCCTGGTACTGCAGCCCACAAGGCAGGCGAGTCCCACCACCATTGGCGAGTCCATTCCTGACACTCTGTACAAAATTAAAAGAAAAATCAATGTGCGCTATCATAAAATAAAAACTTTGACCATTAAATAAGCTGCTGCAATACACTTATAAGTGATCCCACACTCAATACAACAAAGTGCTCCAAATGGCTCCAAAACGACAGTGCTCCACCGCAACCATAAGTGCACCACCACCTACGGATTTGAATGGCCGCTCACCTCATGAAATGGACGTATATAATATTATAGGTCAACCAAGCATAGTGATTCAATATAAAGGTTCCAGATGGCAGTAGAGAGCTGATTGAGGTCACACCATGAATAGCCATATACGATCATAAATCAAGGATCTCTCCGTACCTCCATAACGACATGTAAGAAAGAAAAACAGCCTCCCATTGCATAATAATGTTTTATTATTAAAAGCACACACAGAGTAAACACTCACATTTTAAAATTGGCAAAGACCAGTGTATAGCATGTAACTTTCGATTTGCAAGTCCGTGACCGGGACTGACGTCACTAAACTCCGCCCATGTTGTTGTCATTTTGGAACCATTTGGAGCACGTTTTTTCAAGCACATTTAAGCACAATATTGGATTTGAACTTTCACACCATAAAGACTCGGTTTTTCTTATTTATCATTTTATTGAGTTTTATGTGTTATGAGTTGGTGCAACACTATTATTTTTTATTCAATATGCGCTGTATGTTTCCTGGAAACAACCAATGGACTGCATATACTTCAAAAGGATTCTTTCTTCAATATGATGCTCAGAACGGATACACCTGAAACTAGTGGTACCTCATAGAGGATGTTCCGAAAGAGAGAAAGAAAATCCTCATAGTGCAATAAATTCTAAATATTTAATAAACAAGCAGTAATGCACGTAAATAATAAGAATTTAAAATCAGCATGTCACCATATCTAAAACTGACTTGTTTTAAACCAATAATATGGCCGTCATGTTCTGGTACACAATGACGTCATGCGTTCTGGCTCCAACCAACGCGTTTCGTCATATGTGATGTCATCAGGGGCAACGTCAAAGTTGACTATGCCATCTGTCTTATCATAAAAGTACCCTCACCACTGAACTTTTTTCAGTAGTACTGTTTGATGTGCATCTGGGACTTCTGTTTTCTCTATTTAGGAGATTTTGCCTTACTTCCTGCCTCTATGATATATGAGTGTCAAAGAAAACAGGAAGTCATGGGAAAACCCCCAAACAGAAAAAGATAGTTAGCTGCTGAGTCTGAAAGCCTAAGGTCCTTTTTTAGAAAACAAACTGTGATTTTTTTTGTCCAAAATAGTTTTAGTACACTGAGTTTGGGAATAGATTGTAATCTCAAGTGACTTATATATCATCATGTTTTGTTAAAGCAGACCTCTTGCTCTATTTGGTTTGATGATTTTTAAAAGGATAAGAGTAGTATGAGGTAGTCTGTGTTTTCAGGTCCTTGTGCAGGAACAGAAATAGAAAATAAAAGAGGCAGAATTGAAAACAAAATTCCAGAATGAAGAGGCATTGGATTCATCCCAAGGATTTTCTTGCCGTGTCCTAATTATGGAGATTTTCTTTCACTTCTAAACTATTTGAAAAGGGTTTGTTTCACCCCCTTTGATTCCCCGTTTATCATCCCATTCAGTTTCTCCTTTCCCCCTACTTCACCCCCTCTACCTACTTCTATTTTATTATTATTATTATTATTATACAGTATTTATAAAGCGCCAATAGTTCGCTCAGCGCTGTACATTACAAAGGGAGACAGAACATGTGACAGAACAATACCAATACATGCAAAACATGAGGGGATCGAGGGCCCTGCTCTTCGAGCTTACAATCTAGGAGGGAGGGGGTGGTGGCACAGAGGAGATAGCTGTGGGGGATGGAGTGGTAGGAAGAGTGGAGGAGGGAGGCAAGTTAGCAGGGGGTGGGGGGATAGGCTTCCCTGAAGAGATGGGTTTTCAGGGTGCGCCTAAAGGAGAGGAGAGTAGGTGCTGATGGGTTGGGGCAGGGAGTTCCAGAGGATGGGTGACACCCTGGAGAAAGTCCTGGAGGGGAGTGGGCATGGGAGGAGGAGACCAGGGAACTAGAGAGAAGGAGGTCTTGTGAGGAGCGGAGTGTGCGTTGGGCGGTACTTGGATATTAGGTCAGTGATGTATTCGGGCCAGAACAGTACTTTCCACTGTGCCACACAACCATGCTACTCTCCTGCTTCTGGACAGAGCTGTACCTTCATTTGAAGCCAATCTCCTATTGCTATTGGGCTTGGGTGTACTTTAAAACTCACTCATTGCGACTATTTTTTTTTTTTTTAATAAACAACCAAATTTCCATAAGCATCCTGTGTCATTTAGCTACTAGAAAGGGTAATGTCATAGCTCTCATTCCACACCCCTAATCCAAGACAACCAATACCCTTAATGTATTTGTTCACATAGTACTTTCACTAATTACTTCTGTATAAATGTTTTATTTATTTATTAAGGGTACTTATATAGCACTGTCAATTTATGCAGTCCTTTACATATATATTGTACATTCACATCAGTCCCTAACCCTCAAGGAGCGTACAGTCTAAGGTCCCTAACTTACATACATATACTAGGGCCAATGTAGACAGGTGTCAATTAACCTACCAACATGTCTTTTGGAGTGTGGGAGGAAACCGGAGTACCCAGAGGAGCAACCCACGCAGGCACAGGGAGAACATGCAAACTCCAGGCGTGTGGTGCCATTGTTGGGATTCAAACCAACGACCCTAGTACTGCCAGGTGGGAGTCCTAACCATTTAGCCTGCATGAGGACCTGAAAACACAGATTTCCTCGTACTACTAAAAATGTATCTGTGACAAATCAAGGGACTAGGGAGCCAGATTGAGATACCTACCTCAGTTTCCCTAGCACCAAGTACTAGAGATGAGAAGGCCTGGTAAAAAAAAATTGGAAACATTGGGACAAAACAGGGTTCTAGTTTCAGCAGCTAACTATCTATTTTAATAGTGTAGTAAATAATGTCCCTTATATTGGAAAGAACATACAGTTGGTCTGTTTTTCATATGTAGCTATTCAAGGTTAAAACTCATTGTATTTAAAAGCATTGAACTGTATCTATTTTGCTGTACAAACTTGCACACTATGGCAAAAACAGCCAAATTACAGTTCTGCTTCATAAGGCCATGTGGAATAAGGCTCTTAGTACAAAATCTTTTTTAAATTTTCATTATAGACAGTAAATTAGTTCAAAGGATTTGAGGAAGTACCTTCTTCAGTGAAGGCATTAGAATATAGATATATAATTGTTAAATATACTGTAAGTCTACCCAGAAATTGACATTCTGTTCTCAAGACTCCAATGGATAAATCTCTATGCCAGAGGCAAAAAAGGGTCTCGTAGTAATTTAAAGTAGGTGAATATATGAGAGGTGGTCTTACTGAAAAAAAGATTTATTTGGGATATTTGCATGAATCCAAAACCCCTATTAAACAAATTTGATTATTACAGTATATGGGTGAATTTGAAAAAGGTACATGAAGAAACGTAATAGTACTATATAGAACATTTTAAATGTAACATTCACAATAAAATGTACATGTAAGGATGTACATGTAATGTAAATGTAATGATGTACCTTGTTTATCAACTTTGCACAGCCTATAATAGCACCAAGTGACAGTCCATCTCAAGTATGGGAAAAGTGACCTGTTTGCCCTTGTAATATGAACTTGGCACAGTTACACAGAATATTTATGTGCATTTATAGAATGTGTTCCTAGCAAATTATCCTGAGCTGCTCTCTACCTGCTTTCTTGCACTGAAGGGACTGCAGCTGATGTTATGTGCGTTCTCCATTTATTCAGCGGGCCTTTAGAGTATGATAAATGCTGAAACTATTACGGTTGCTGCAGCCTCTATGGGGCTTGGCGGAGCTCTTTAAAAATGCATTCTCCCATGTAAATTTCTGCTCCATCAATCCTTATGACATGTCAAGCATTGCTATTGTTTCCTGAACAAATTGTACAGCATGCCCTTGTCTCCAGATTTGTGCACAGGAGCATAATCACTCCACAGCTCTGCTTTCCCCCTACAGCGTCTCAACGCTTCTGTGCAGCTGCTACTACAAGTGAAGGTCTTGTGT